CTTCCCAGTGGGCATGGGAGGTTGACTGGAGTCGACACAATTACCATGTCAATATCCTCGTGTGCATCAGGTGATACGCGGCGCCGACACTCTCTGGGCGCATGTTCCCTCTGCTTGCGCACTTTGAAGGGTTTTACCTGTGGGGCCCAGAATGTAGGGAAGGAGCAGTGGGAGAAGGAAGTACCCATGATGACTGCCTATTCTCTCATGCTACCTACTAAAAAAAGTGTTCAAGCCACTATCCTTCTCTCAGCGCAAAACTTTCACATTTATTTTTCATTTTCAATTTCAGTTTGTTTATTCATTCAAGCAGAAATGGTTACATTCATAAGTATTTACAATATTTACATGTTTTTTCTTCTCTCAACATGGGCCATTATTTGTACAATATCAATATAAATTTACAACTTTCTTTACAATTTATAAGCTCAAAATTAAGTGGGTAAAGCATACTCTGTCTATGAAAGGCGCTATATAAATAAAGCTTACACACTCACTTTACATAATTTTTTTTCCAATTTTTTTTTTTTTTTCAGTTTTCAGAACTGTCACCCGTGTTGGTACCGACCAACCATGACAAGGTAATACCTAAGTTGTCTTTTGAACCACAAAAAACACCGAGTGAGGTAGTTGGGTGGATTTTATAACATATCACGTTAGGTACCCCAGCTGAGTAATAAAAATTAGAATCCAGAATACACTAATGACACAGTGCGTATAACACCAGCCCTCTGCTCTCCACAGAAAGTTCCCATGCCACTGTTCTGAGTAGAGCTTAGCCACCCGGCAAAAAGGTCATATTCAGTCTCACAATTTATCCGATAAAGACGCGCACTTGGCTGGCAGCGGAGTAGCTGTCCGGAACGGGAGCGGCGGAGGAGAGTGCTTTCATTAAAGGGGTTTCCATGGATGAACCGCTCGACCGGGGATAAGGAGGCTTAAATCAGCATCTGCACCAGATTCCCCGGTAACCCCAGCAGACCGGCCGCGGTGCCTTTAAACACCCTGCTACCACTTTCACACATATTTCTCCCACTCGACGTGAGATAAAGGATTTTTCTCAGGTATCAATTTGAGAGATGAACATACTCACCGCTCCACCACCAAACTGACAGCCTGGGTCAAGTCCGGATTTGCCACTTGTAGACGTTTCCATAGAGACCACACAAACTCCTTGTCTGCCTGTAAGAGTGACGTTTGGCACCAGTTTAGGTCGATTACTTGTTGATACTTTTTTAAAATCTATATTTACAGGTGAAACTCAGAAATTGTAATTCAATTTCAAATGTGAAACCAATACATGACATGTCAAGCCTATTATTGATTATGGCTTATCAAAAGAATTAAAAAGTGTCTGAGATGTTTGGGTTTTTTAATAAACATGATATAAAAGGCTTGATATATCACTTGCATGTAATTGGTTTGTCAAGTTTCACATTTTAAGTTGAATTACAGAAGAAAATTGACTTTCTAATGATATTATATTTTTCCAAATTTAACTTGTGAGATATGAGACATTCAAATCAATGTTTTAAGGCCATTATGAAAATCGCATTGTGGAACATTGACTTTCATTTATCCAGATTAGGAATGTCATGATTGGTCCTTTCAACTAATGTAATAAGATTAATCACATTTTTTAGATTGTTTTCAAAGTTTTTAAGAATAATGTTTTGAAATGCATGCAAGTAGTTTAGTTATTCTTTCTGTCGGAAGCTTTGGGCTTACTAAAGAGAAATAATGTGCACTTCCAACTATTAAAACATACATTGCAACCACTAGGTTTGTATCAAATGTCGACTAAAGGCATAGTTGTAATCCAATTTTAAAAAAATACAAAAGAATACGTAAGAATCAATAAATCAATCATTTCTATTGTGCCAAAACTCATTTGTCTAAGCAAAAATGACTAAATAAATGAGAAGAATCTTGCTAGAGGCTCACAAAAATGAAGGAGGGCTCTAAGTGACATTAGCATAAGACAGAACTGCCAGCAATCAATAATTTAACGATCTTATACAAATAATTTTTGATCTGCCCTGCCCTCTCTAATTACGAGGCGCTCTTAACAGGGATCTTCATCACGGAGATGTGACCTTCGACTCAAGGGGAGCAGGCATTGACACTTGTCATTATGCACTATTTATGACTGGGGAGCCGCCATCCAAATCAAAACACAGCAGTGGAGCTTGCATTTTCTTCATTAATCAATGGCTCTCCAGATCTGTTTTTCCACTGCTGCTCCAAAGTAACTAGCCCCAAAGAAACTCCAAACTGATGACAGAGAGAGTCATCCTCAAGCGCAGCAGCCGCCGTGCCCCTGACACATTTCCAATTCAAATTGTCTCGCTGCTTCTCAAACATTTTTAAGCTACATTACATTTAATGAGGGACATCTAAAAAGTACATTTTCTGACATTAAAAGACAGAATTATACCAAATCGACTTAATATAAAAATTATTTGATAAATTATGTTCACATCATCAGAAGATAAAAGTCCTCCCTCCCATGGAACCTACTGGTCTCCAATTAGTACATGAATCTTAACCCCCTTTTCAAAAGTGTCTAATCAATTATTTACTCAAATGGCAGAAGCAGACCTTGATAAGACCATGAGCTCAACATACAAAGTGGAGGACCGCGTATCTCCATGTCAGTCCGCATTTGGGGCTGTACACAGTTAGAGCGAGGGGGGTCCATCCAAATCAGTCGTCCAAACAGCAAACCAAGAAATTAGAAAGCAAGTGCTCTGTGCTCTGGATCTGACTGGCCTTTGGCTGCCATTAGACGCCCCACATGAGCACACGTGTTCAGGCAGACTCATCAAGGCCCTCTCATCTGCCATACGCTTTTTAAAACATGCGATGGATGTCTGTTTGATGATGGCTGAATTATTCATTTAAAAAAAAATCTAGACACTAAAACACCACGAGCTAAACATACCAAAGAGGGAGCTACTGGAATCCAGCCACATATTCATAACATTAGCACTGGTCTAGTAGGATCATTTGCTGCTCGACAGATGAGCCTTTTTCCACTTAATGGCCATCCAGAAGTACACGGTGCCAGAGACTTAACAGATCAATGGTATTCAAATGCTGGTTTAAATGGTACAGTACACGACTTAAGGTCCTTATTAGATAGACAGAATCACTGATGTCCTTCCCAAGATGAGACCACCAAGGACGGCTTCACTCAATCTCACCATAAGACTGCAGGAGAACTAAATGTTTAGAAACTAGGCAAATACTACTTCTTTCAAACTGTGGACTGGGTTAAATTGCACTAAATGGAATAGCAAAAAGTCATGAGGGGACAATATTAAAATGCATTTAGTTTTCAATAGTACAAGAACATTGTAAGCCATAATTGGATGAAACAGTGGCACACGTGGGGAAGTCAGTAAATCAACTGGTGGTCTTCAGAATAGACTTAGTTAACATAAATCAATCAATAAATGCAATTTTCAATGGGCATGTTTGTTATTATTGCATATGTACATTTATGGGAAAAAACAAAACAAATAACAGATATGTTTTAGTTCCCATTACTGTGTGGCAGTGTGTAAATAATATTAGACCAGTAAGTAAGACCAGTCTGTAGACTATGGACTGAGTACAGTATAACTACAGTGGGTTTACCCATCGGCCTCAAGTGTGTGCTGAACTGTTAAATGATTTAAATATGCAATAATACATTAGTCAAGGGACGTGAACTCTCTAAATATAAAAAGACATAGTTATATTATATATTATCATTATTGCTTAAGAAAAATGCTGTCACATGTTTCTTGCTCATAATGGTGTTTATTCTACATGATTAAATTGTGTGCACTTCTATGAAATGTTATGTCAATTTTTTATTTTTTAGCATGCTTTATTCTATCTTTACTTTTAAAACTTGTTTGCATCTAGAGCGAACTGTGTGACTTACTGTTAATTGACAATAGTTGACAATAGCATTAAAAAGAATTCTGATTCTGATGCTGAAAGTAAAAAGCTACAGAAGAAAGTAACTCATTTTTGTAGTACCTAATACCTAACAAGCACAATCAGAAACACTAACGTTGTGCTACGATATTGAATGTGATTCCAGGCTAAGGCCATATTGTGTGTCGTGGTGCAATGACTAATACACTTATTTTTGAACGCGAGTGCAAATCAATATAGTGTCACTACGACTGTTTACCTTGTGATTAATGACACACAAACAACTTACCTCATTCAAATAGTATTACTGCGTTATTAATAGTTGTATAATACAGACCTGGCACTGTATAAGCTCCTCTGATAACGTCTTCACTTGCTCCTCCAGAACAAACATGCGAGAGTCACTGTCAGTGGCGCTGAGAAAGACATGATTGAATTTGAAGGTTTATTTATTTATCAAATTGAAATATATATGTCTATTTTGCGGCAATGAGGAAGGTAACCAGAAAAGGAGTAGGCTGAAGCCGTGGCTTATAGTGCCTACCCTATTAACAAAACAACAACTACCCAACTAAATTAGTCAGATTATACAAGTTACATACAGACATACATACATATACGCAAACATATAAGCATATATAAATACACGTATCACTACACAAACACATACACAAACACATACAATATATATATATATATTATGTGCATACAGGCATACACATACATTTGCACACTATTGTTTTTGTTATGAAAGTGTTTGTCTTATTGAGTTTTGTTTCTTATATGTACACATCGGTAGACCTAAACATAACTTACAAAATCATCTATTTATCAAAAAAATAATGAATGAAATTGCTCCTCTTGAGATCATTACTGAGACCATTCCACAAGTCGACCCCTTTTTTGACCGAAATGGTGTTCATTTTAAAGTTGTTTTTGACCATTGTTTTTCAAATAAGTTTTCTCCCCTCAGGTTATAAATCTCTTCCCTGTTTTCAAACATACAGAGTATATTTTGAGGCAATATTTTCCTATTTACTTTGTACATGAAGATTACAGTATTCAGAGTGACTAAGTCGTAACATTTGATCGCTTTATATTTGCAGAATATTGCGTTTGCCAGTTATACGGTGAGTGATTGTCTATTCGAATGGCTTTTTTTCTGTTAAATAAAAATAGGTTTTGTATTTGTGGTGTAGGCTTGCCCCCATATTTCTACACAGTAGGAGTAGGATCCACTTATTTATACTTCCGTAACACAACCAGATGCTGTTTAAATAATGGGAAAAATACAAAAACACAAGACCTACCTCTCCATACTTGTGGCTTGCATAGATTCCCCAGATTTGGAATATGAATAATCACACGTCTAACACACCGGGAGGATGCTAGCTACCTTTAGCCACACATCGTAAACTTGTAAAACTGGCATAAGTTCCCCACGAAGCCTTTGTCAAATCATTGCTTTCGTGGTCATGTCACATCCAACAAAGTTATCCTTCCACACACATACGATCGTGTTTCTTTCAGCTCAGAAGAAGTCAAGTTCCGCAGTGTATCACAGTTGTCAACAACAACCCAGCTGCTTTCCTCCTTTCAAACAAGCCCGCTGTTTCCTGTCTCAGCCGCAAGTGAGCATGCGCATGACTTTACGACGCCTTCCCACGATTTACGACTTTTTTGAGTTTTATGAATGAGAAGGAAAATCCACTTTTTCTCCTCCTTCCTGGTTATGGAATCCAATGAGGGGTAAAGTGAAGCTGCTAAGGGGCATATACAGCAGAGGCACATACAGAAATAATACGACAGACTACAGACAAACTCAAATTACAGAAACTCAAGCAGTCAATAAACACGTTTTCTTTCCAGACAATGAAAGACATCCTGAAAAGATATATTGAGTGCTCTTACCTGTAAATGTCCCTGGATAAATCTGTTTGGGTTTTTTATGAGCTGTGTTTATTGCATTGGAAAAGGAATGGAAGCTGTGATAGTTTGTCAGTAAACTTGCACTTCACACCAGACTCATACTAAAGAGTACAAAAGTATTTAATTATACCTTGTTGACCTCTGAACATTGTAAAGCGCTTTGGGTAACCTTGGTCTGTAAAAATTTGCTATAAAATTAAAGATTACTTATGTACTTAGTTACTTACTTACTTGTTATCTATACTCTTTACTCATACTAGTATGCCAAGTATATGAGTCTGGTGTGTGAATGGTTGGTGGTTGTCAGGGGGTGCAATGACAGTCTGCCCCATGACCGCAGAATTATGATTATTTACATGGAACATGTATCTCAATAGAGCAGTGGGATTACAATGATTTTCCATTTAATCTTGCGAGTGACGTATTACTACCACTAGAAAGTTACGCTCTGCTGTTTAAACTCTAAAACACAAACTGTTTCATCATAATTATTATTTATTTTATTTGATCTATTCATTCAATCCCCATGTGGTCCATAGAGCAAAATACATGGGATATATTCTCCCATGGGCCGAGTGGGTGATCTCCATATCATCATCATCTCCAGCAACACTGAGAGATGGATTGGTTTTATGACATAATTCATGAAAACGACCAGAGATGCGTGCCTGACATCTGTGTTGCTGGTGAGACAAGACAACTCCATATTGTGCGGCTAATGCATTTAAGTGTTCCGTGCTCTGCATGGGCAAGGGAGTCAAATGAAGAAATATGAGCCCTGGCATTCTTTCTGCACACACAAATATGGCTTCTGTGCACAACATAACACACACACACACACACATACAAGCAGAGGAGATGCAATTGACTTAGCATGATTAGGCTGTTCCTTGACCCATGGACACAGCCTCTCATTAAGCTGCTCATTTGTGGAAAATTTTTGGAGGCAGTGGTACATAATGCTGTGCACAACATCTGCGCCTGGCTCCGACACGTGGCATCTATCTCGTCACAGGCTGTAATGATCGCCATACATCAGCAGCAGGCCTCAGTGTGGAGAGCTCTCGTTTGGTCAAGGGTCAGGCTCAGACAAGATCAGTAATTATGGAAACAGATGAGAATAGATTCACAAGAATTCGATCACAAACAGGGTCAAAAAAAAGGCAAAACGTCTCCTATTATTTTGGTGAAATACAGCTGAGTTACAGTTAAACTTTGTTTGTTCCACATAACACAAGTCTTTGTTCCCAAATTGCCGCAGCAAACAAACAACTAAATGTATGTGGGATTCTAAATGAGGTTTAAGTTGTTGTATAATTCCAAACAGATTATTCAGATGATGAAAACTTAAACAGGGAGTCACCTAATGTCCCGACACTGAAATATGTTAAATAAGAACCTTGCAAGCCATGTGGTATTTTTCACTTATGACCTCTGCTTCTGCTTTCTATGAGATACTCATATGCATAGTTACATCAAACATTTTAAAACAAACTTGTTTTACTTTAACTATTTTTTAATATTCATAAATGAATTCAATTTTTCTAAACTAAAGCTGTTTGCTCCAGAATATACTCAGATAAAAATACGTGTTGTTGTATTTCTTATGTTTTACATTTTAAAATCATACACTTTCCCTGAATATGTGACCATTTCCAAATGTATTTTACGTGTTCATTTAGTTGACTGGGAAAATGCACAATAAATGTATTGTCGCTGGGCATTTACATTACTGGTAAAAATAGAACACCCTTAACCACAAAGAGACACAATATATGCAAAACGCATTATAATCAATTTGTTTAATGACTGTCTTTTAAGTTGAATTGAAGTTGTGCCACTGAGCTCCACTCCCTCCCAGACTGAGGTAAGTTCCAGGCCCCCGCTGCTTTCATCCAAATGAGGAGGACCTAAAGTTCACATAACAATCTCCTCTCGATGTTGCTCTGGATCTGAGCACAACCTCATCACATATTTTCAAATATACTGTATGTATTTATTTATCTATGTGTTTGTTTATTTTCTGTACAAATGTACATGTACAAACATGAAAATCTTCACAGTCTGCTGAATGTCTTTGCCCAGATGTATGGCATTATGAAATTAATGGTTAGGGAACATAAACCAACACACATTTCAGTGGGTGAAACTAAACTATTATAGTTCCGCAGTCCTATAATAGGCCAATGATGAATGGTTGTTAAGGTGTTAGCCACAGGTTTATTGTCATCACTAATACAACAAATGCAAAGCGACTGGAGTTAGATGTGGGATCCTTTGTGCATCTAATTGCTCAATATTGAATGCACAAGGTGCCACCCCTTTGAAACAAGACTGTTCTTGTATCGACAACTCACTTCCCACCTGCGCTCTGCCTCACTGGGAACTCCAGCACTCCTTTATCTCCCGGCACCAAGATAGTGACAGAACAAAACATCATGCAAATACAATGTGCACAAAAAATTCAGCAAGCACGATGACAAGCAAATGGAACAGAGGCTGAGAAGCACGCGTGACACTCCGAGGAGGATAGTCTCCGCCTGCGCAGCCTCAGGTAAGTGGGGATACGCTGTCTGCATTAATAGGGGCCCGCTTTGAAGTTGAAGAAAAACAGGAGATGAGTGGGAGCGACAACAGCAGCTACTAAAGAGACACAAGTCCCCAGCTTTAGAGGAACAGCGATAGTACAAGCTCCAGGTGGGATGAGAAGGCTGGTGTGGCGTTTAGTGAACACGGGGATACGAGACAGGCTGTGACTTGTGGGAGATGAATGGGACCTCTGCTTGATTTGACATAATTAAATTGGCCCTAACGTTATGAGACTTGTTTGTACTGCGATGAACCTGGAGGAGTTCCCAGGGAAGGAGACATCTATGGCCCTGCAAGTGGGTTCCTACATGACAGGTGGTGGATGCCATTCGGAGCCAAGTTCCATATTCCTGACAGGCAAATATAAGCAATGTTCTCCCTGCAAGAAATTATGCACAACTATACTACTCAGAACAAACATCACATGTGACATGATGTCACATGACAGCCACGCTTGGTCGAACAATCCAGGGGTCTCATTTCTACAACTTAAAAAAGACATGTTCTGCCAAATAACTTTTTGGAGTTTTGTATGTACAAAAATGAACTTGTCCAAAGACCATCAAACATTGTCCTCTCTGCACATCTTACATCAGGGGTCACCAACCTTTTTATAAAGCCGAGGGATACTTCCAATACAACTGATTACCAAAGGGCTACTATAAATGGTTCAATTGAAATTAATTGCACATTTTGCGCAAAGGTATGAACATGGTTAATTGTCCCGAGTGTATTTCTTTTTTATCATGGCTTGGGATATTAATCTGAACATCAGCTATTATCCAAGATTGAGACAAATTCAAATCAATGGCTCGTGCTCAGTGGTGCATGGGACCACCATTGGCACCGAAAGATTTGCGGAACTCGCCCCTATTTGGGCATCGTCTGGTCTTCCCGGTTCTGCACAGTGGACAAGTTCCCATGATGCTTTGCCCCAAATACGTGTGTGTGGCTCTCATGCACATGCACAGAGTGGCACGGCCGCGTTCTGATCAATCAGGGCCTGCTGATCAGAGCAGAGCTACAGCTGGAGGCAAACGACCAGAGTTTGTTGCACTAAAGAGTGGATTTATAGAAAACCACAAGAAAAAAAGTTCAAGTTTTCAAGGGACACTAAACTCCGCCATAATCCAACCTTTATGAAAGCTGTAGGTTCTCTGTCAGCTGAGGTCGAGCTGTTTTAATTTACATTGAGTTCTATGGAACATTTTCCTGGATAGCCCATGTAAATTTAGTCTGTTGCATAGCAGGTGCTATGCAACAGACTAAATTATCGCTTGATCATTTTTAGAACATGCTCATGCTTCCGTTGGCCCTATCTATGAAGGTGTTCTCACTCATAATTTTTTTGATCAAATTTATAACAATACATTATTTGATGTATTTTAGGAGGATGTCTGAACTTTAAATGAATATAATTTAAAGAATACACATTTTTGACGTTTTGATCCTATAGTATACTGTATATACTGTAGTATCCATCCATCATTAGATGTTTTATTTTTTTTTGCATTTGAAAAACGTTTCCACATCCAAATCTTTTATAAAAATAACTGCAATTACGAATTCTTGATACAGTTCTTTTGAAAGCAATTGAGTACAAAAAGGTCTATCATCTTATTTCAAGGGAAAAAAGCAAAAACAAATCAAGATTGACCAAAATGGGGGAATTTTTTTCAACCATATGCTACAGTAGATGATGGAACATATAACCCCACCACAACCCTAGTGACCAGCCTAGTTTAGCCACTGTGAACTTTTGAATGCACCCATTAAATGAATAAGCTGGTACCAGCTAACGCATGAAAAAAAGCT